CCGATCGCGAAAATGGTGATCGGGGCTTTTTTGCAGAAAACCGCGTCTAGATTGGCCATGGACGCTTTTCTGCAAAAAGTGCTTTTGTGGAAAAGCATCCTGCCAATCTAGACGCGATTTTCCGAAAATGCTTTTAACTGAAAACTTTTCCGTTAAAAGCATTTCCGGAAAATCATGCCAGTGTAGACGTAGGCAGGGCTGTGTGAAATATGACTATGCACACAAGGACGAGCACATTTTCCTCCCCAGTCACTAAGTTACTAATATCTAACTTCTTGCTTTGTAAAGCAGGTTGGCGGTTAAAGGCACAACATAAAATCTAATTCCTCTAGACTGTAAAAATCCAAGGCTCCTTTTCATGATATATACTGCACCCCCCACCTCCCAAGCTAGATTGTAACTGTGCTGCTTTCTCAGGAAAACACTGTCCATAAACACTAGCCAGACTTCCTAAAACAGAGCAAAATATATATTGCCCATAAATTTGTCACCGTTTCATTAATCGGTATTCTGGGCATGTCTGCTTGCCCGGGGGCATGTTGCTGGCCTTGAGTAGCTGCTGGGAGCTAGAGAGGATGATTTGAGAGAATGTGCTAATCAGAAAAGAGTGAGCTAGAAGGCCACTGAGGCAGAGGGAAAAGCCAGAACACAGAGACTAAAAGTAATGGCTTAGATTTTCAGCCGGTGTAAATCAATGTCACCCTACTGAGGCCAACAGAGAGAAGTGGCCCTTGCTAGTCTTCTGTTCACCGGTGTCCATTTCCAAAGGCTTCTGGGTTTCTTAACAAAACATAAACAAAAGCGATAATCGTGTAATATGTTTATAAGTTCATCAAGACTCGCTAGGACCTGAGAAGGAGCTAACAAAGCGTGGTGAGGGGCAATGTGATGGCGGATGAAACGGCATGATACACACCGTAGTGCCAATCCAAAGTCCACCAAAAACAATGAGTTGGGTCTCAAAAAAATCACCAGATGGGCTAAAAAATGATGAGGGTTTTTTTACATAATAATAAAGTTGGGATCTTTTGGGTCTTCTGGTTCCTCGGTCTTTAGGCCACACTCGGGTTGCAATTTCCGTCTTGTTGCCTCAGCGGTGAGAACAGGAATGGAAGCTGTGTCTCCCACCTAACCCCATGACACTAAGGGTGCATCTCCACTGCACCGTAACTCAAAATAAGACACGCAATTTGAGCTGCGCAAATTGTGTACCTTATCGCAATGCTATTTCAAAATAGCTTATTTCGTCCTTTGGCGCGGTCTACACCGCGCCAAATTTTGTAATAAAGCGCTATTCCGAAACGTCCCTTATTCCTCGTAGAATGAATTTTACAGGGACGTCGGAATAGCGAGCCTGAAATAACGGGCTTGCTGTGAAGACATTGCAAAGCAATTTGGGGATACTCTGGTATCCGGAAATAGCACTGCAGTGTAGACGTACCCTAAGAGCTGGGAGGTTAAGAGAACCAGTAACTATCACAAAATCGGCCCTGAGAGTTGACAACACTGTAATAAGGTTCAAAGGAACAATCTGAAATATTCACGCACTTTGAATAGGTTCTCAGCTAACGTAAATTTTGCAACCAATCAAGAAAAAAGATCTAAGCGTGAGTATGAGTAATTTAATGAAGACAAGTGAACAAAAAGCCAGCAAGGATACAGAGGAAATACGCCTTGTTCCATATTCCTGATCGCTTGCTCTGAATGCTGAGTTCAGTTAATCTCAACATGGACCAAGTGAGCGAAGTCCAGGGGAAAAGAGGCGTAAAGAGATTTCACCTACCCAGAAATTCATGGCTCTCTCTCATGTGGTGGCTCTAACATTTTGCACCTCTCTTCCTGGCTGCTGCAGGAGCTGTAATGGGGCCTCCATGCCACAAGATGGCAGCAGCAGCCCCTCAAGAACCAGAGCCGTCTCAGAGACACTTCTTAAGTAGGGAAAATGGGACCTTACGTTACAATTGTATCTACTCTGGCAGATTTGGTAGATAAGCCCTGTAAACAAGACTGAATAGATCTAGGAGCCCTAGAATAAAGCTGCTTGAATGTTTCAGTTGGAATATTTTCACACACACACACACCCCACCCCGAATGTACCTCTATGTCAAAATGGAGATTTCCGAAAGAAAACTATTTTTGACTAATGTGGGGTTTCTGTAAAAAATCATGAACCCCCCACCGCCCCCAAAAAATTGCTTTCGGTTGTTTTCTTGGGGGAAAGAACAGGGGACAGGAGAGCAGGAAAACAACAACAAGACATTTTTGGAGAATGTTTTCCGTGAAAACATTGCACACTTTTTTTTGTTTTCCCCAAAATGTATAATAGGGAGTAAAACCATTTCCCAGACAACTCTACCCTTACCAGTCCCTTGCAGTTCTATTTCCCAACCTGTAAAGCAGGGCTACTCGACTTTGGAAGCCCCGGGGGCCACAATGATACTCACCGCACAGGCCGAGGGCTGCAACTTAAATGCAAATAGATATGCAAATATATGCAAATAGCTTCTTTCACACTGACGGGCATGACTACAAAGATTAAGGCAAAACTACACAATACACAGGCCCCATTTAAGTCAGTTCTGCTGATATTTCATGCAATATTTACCAGATTTCCACCCATA